TCTTCAGTGATGGTTCCTTGATTTTGTGACTCTGGGCTGTAAGTTAGAATTTGTTACTGAAGGATGACTTTAACCTTAGAGAATACTTGGAGAGGGAAACAGCCATGATGATGTCTCTAGGGAAGCAACAGTATCTTTCAACAACCAGAAGAATTTTCCACAATCATCTGTAATCAGCCGAAGTTCTGGCTTCTATTGGAATGGTTAGACGCTTTCAGGGTCAAACCTCCTTTTCTTGATAAAGCTCATAATCTGTGACATAAGTCATTTCTAACTGCAAACAGTATTGTTATGTTGGCCTATGTTTATTTTATTGCCTATATCCAATTACGCTATTGATAGTCCACAGGGGCAGGTGCATGCAGTTATGAACATGCAAAGCGCATGGTTTGACTGTGGCACGCAAATGCGCCTGGCGTGATCTGACACAAGAAGCACGGAGAGTTCCACACAGATGATATTTAGCCACCATCTTTAACACTGTGAAACAAGGACACAAATAAAGACTAATAAATGAGTCCCTCTCCCCTTGATCCCCATCGCTGCTGATCTGATCCACTCAATCAAATGTGTTAAGTCATAATTACCCCCAGCTCCCATTGCTCTAATTGAAACCTATTAGACAGCATGTGATGTTGACACAAACAGAGGAGAAGACCAACAGCCATTGGATTGGTAAGCAAAGTACAGAGACACCTCACACAGTAACCAACCAACACTTAATTATCAATGAGCTTTTCACAGCTCTCTACCCTTCGCTGTTGCTCTCTTTTTTTCTCTCTCTCTCTCTCTCTTGCTGCTCTCGGGCTTCATGGCTCTACGAGTAATGAACTTCTTTAATAAAACTTGTGTTAAACTCAGTCAAGGATGAGACATTTATTGTGCATTTGATAACAAATATCAGTGAAGGAAGTGTGATAGTGTAACTGTCTTAGAAGCTATTTTGACTTTGTTTTTTTACCTTTATATGGCTGTTTCTATACACAATTAAGATCATAAAGCTGATAAAATGACAAATCACAACATTAACATGTGACGTACTGTATGTTCAGTCATGGCCTGCAAGTTGCCAGGCATTCCCCTGCCATCTTTCTAAAGAAACTGTGGCTCAGTAACAATACATAAATCAATCTGATAATAAAATTAATCCAAATAAACCAAACCCTATAGCATGACTGCATTGACAGTAAGAATTGGGTGACAGCATATACTTCCTTAAACTCTCCCGAGATGTTTGCATTTCTTTTAGTAATGATATGCTGAACAGGTTCAGTGTCTCATGCAGCTGAGATGATTCAATAGATGAGATGTGGGTTAGGAAACTGTTGGGAAACACATTCACTGACTCAGAATCATTTCTTATGAGTGTCTTCTGTTCATGCCCAAAAATATTTCTGGCAAAATAGCAAGAAACAAAGGGAAACAAGCTGACACATAAAATGTATTTCAAATCGCTCAATGTCAAATTTTCCAATAATTGAGCAACATATCCCCTAATGTTCTGTGTTATTGCCATATTGCTGTATTTTTGATGCATTGTTCCCATAATTAGTTACCTGAGGAGGTCCCTCTCAGGAATCATCCCTAACCAAGGGATAAAACTGTTACCCATTGTGACCTCACATCTGTCTCATTCATATATGTATATATATAATATATATATATAAATAGCTTCACCCTCACTCAAATATAAACATTTTCAGAATTAAAGAAATAAAGAAAAGATAATGATATTACGTGCTGTAAGGTGCTGTGAACTCTCTAATTTCTAATAAACTTATTTAAAAGTTTTTTCTTGCAAAAATACATCCAAAAATTTGGGGGACATAACGCTTTCAATCCATTTAACAATGCTGAACAGCGGACAATATACTTACGCGTTGTGTTGACATACTTACTGAGTTTTATTTTTTTGTTCACGGTAAAATATTCCGTTTTAACTAAATATGCTGTCATATCTAACTATTTTTTTTATTCTAGTCAGTAATATCTAATATAATATCATTTAAGTGTCAGATCAAGTAGAAATAGTCAATGAACAACGTGCGGATAGAGTCGACATTTGTTGATATGATTTGGCTTTTGATAATTTCACTGTAATCGACGCATCAATTGAGGCATCATTTCGAGAGGGGTTATAAATTGGGATGAGCAACGCTAGGAATAAAGCTCATGGAAATGCCCAAAACAAACATATAGAGACTGCAGGTCCCTTCATACGCAGTACATGCTCTTGGTGAAGCGTGAAGCGGTTTGTTAAATGTTCACATCACTGGCGAGGTTCTGAGGTTTGATAAAAAGAGACAGCCCTCAAAAGCAGTTGATTGAAATGGCGTGTGCCTGGCTGACGGGAGCCAGAGCGGGACAAAGCCCTGCAAAAGCACGGCCACTCCAGCAATTATTCCTGCACGCTGAATTTGGATTAGTTCAATGGAAAGAAGCATATGTTTGGCCTGCGGCGACACTCCCCCCGGCTGGCTTCAGAGAATGAGGAGAGAGAGGGAGGCAGAAACTAGAATATCAACTATTTGGAGGAAAAGGGCGAAACATAACACAGTTGTGGACTCTCTATTTTGGTGTGCACACGAATGTGTGAAGAACTCGGATGTACGAGGTCAGGACGTGTTCTATTAAGATTTTAATGACTGAACAACTGAGAAGTGAATTGAACTGACACTGAATTGATGAGTTCCTAAGATACACGGTTAGCATAATCAAACATTCAACCTTGTTCCGTTGTCATAGCTGTCTTTTTTATCTCCGTTTGTTCTTTTATTTTGCCCTTCATTTTACTTACTTTCATTTTCAATTCCTAAAGAAAATGTATTTTCAAATTTTTTTTTTTTTTTTTTAGAAAGTCCAGAAACTAAAAGTCTACGCGGATCTGAAGAATCTTTGAATATCAATTAAAAATAAGCACATAGTCAACCCATATTTTTAGAGAAAATTCATATTTCTGTTCTGTAAGTACTGTACACCCTTTGGCAAACATGTAAGATGTTAACAATCAAGCAACTAAGCGCTGAGTGAGTGAGTGAGTGAGAGAGAGAGAGATATATATATATATATATATATACAGTATATATGCTACTTATTTCAGTTCAATCAACTTCGCTTTATAAGTTGTTTGCTCACAACAACAGAGGGTATTATATGATATTTGAACGAATGTTTATTCGATTATGTTTCAAATAATGCTCTTAAGATCATCCAAAATTACTTCGTACGTTGTTTACGAAGATGCAGAGTACCAAACTAGCATTTGGATTGATCAGTAGGCCTTCAAAACTTCGTTATGGGAGCTGTCAAGTGCAAAGGTCAAAGGCCAAAATCGTTTCCAGTATCAATACTACCAATCAAAATTTAAGCTGTGATTGCGCTGAAAGTTCTCAATAAATATGACAAATTAAATAGACCCAATCAAGGCTTTTCTGTAAGTTATAAATAAACAACTACACACATATTTAAAAAGTAGCCCAAAGTGAACTCATGTAGCAGTTATGATTATCATAAGATGCCCATAAAAAGTTTTAGGTTTTAAGTTCGAGGCGTTCGTTCCTATTGAGAGAAGTTAAAGCAAGTTAATCAATCAAAATAAATCAATGGTTACAAGTACGAAGCAAATCCAAACGCGCTTGCGTAAATGTCTCTCATACCCAAACCCTCCTCTAAACCCAAACTGTGTGTGCATGCGTGCGTGTTGTGTGTGTGTGTGTGTGTGTGTGTGTGTGAGAGAGAGAGAGAGAGAGAGAGAGAGAGAGAGAGAGAGTGAGAGAGAGTGAGTGTGTGAGAGTGAGAGTGAGTATGCTATGTGTCTGTACATTTACATTAGCTTATACATATATATTGAACGAAATTGTCTTCAGTAAAAATAATATTGATTTGGGGGAAATTATATAAAATGAAACACAAATTATGTCATTGAAATTATGTATTATGTTGCAATTGATAAATGGGGGAGGTTATGTAGGCTAGTGTATTAACCGAAATCAGCAGGGTATTACCGTAAGCTCCAAGGCTACTCTGAGTTTTATATATTTTCATTTTGCTGCAAGGCATTATTCTGTTTAACTAGTTCAAAAAATAAATAAATATTTTTGCATATTTTATATATATATATATATATATATATAAATGACCACTACGGTGAAAATATTGTGCAGGCAGCTCTTTGCAGTGCCATGACAGACGTCTGATGTACATGACGAGAATTCAGCCAAATCCAGCAATCTCCAATGTAAATTGATTTCCAGGGGCGTGCTATCAATAAACAATCAATCTCTATTTGAATCTGAGTTATGCAATGCACAAAATAACCATACGTGTTCCTGCATGACATTATCTGCAAGTGTGCCCAATGACTAAACGAAATTGGAAGAGTAAAATTACGACATGCATGCTGCTTTTTGTTTTAACGTTTAAGTGCCATGCCCACAATTTCGTTCAAACGAACTGTAAACTGATTCCAGCAAACTATAGATCTGCATTTTAATGACATAAATATTTAGCATAGTGACAGTAGTGTTTTAGAAGTAAGGTGACGTCTACAAATAAAGGCATGGAAATGGCAACTGCACTAACCTTCAGCTGGATTCTACATCTGACTGATTTAAAGAGCGCTCTTGCTCCAGGGCTAAAACTACACACATTCACTTCAAACACGAAAGAGAATTCGTTGTTTTCTGTGTCATTTGGCTTGGCAAAAAGCTCCCTGCCATATTTGAACGAGCCTGTACTCTGAACTAAGAGTTAAAAGCAAGTTATTGTTGTTATTAATATTATTATTATTATTATACTTGAAAGAAACAATGGGTTCAACTGCTTATTGCATGGAGCAATCGTCAAGGGAGAGTTAAACTCAATTACAGTACTGTGCTGAACAGAAAAGAGAGGGGGAGCGAGCGAGCTAGAGAGGAATACGTCGCAGCAAGCAGTAAATAATAAAAGGAATGAATAAAAATCGACATGAAGCGTATCAAATATTTATTTATTTATTCGTTTTTTTTATCATTTTTATTTATTTTATTTTTTCTGGGCAACAAAGAACTATAATACATTGACAGGCAAGGGAGCTATTGCCAGCACAGGTTTATACATACAGATAAAACCGCCTCCAATTTAGACAGTGGACACACAAGATATCAGATGATCGCAAATGTTGAATTTATTCAAAAAAAAAGAAGAAGGAGGGGGGGGGGGGAGAAGAATAATTCGTAAGACAATATCCATTTATTGCTCTTGTGGTGCTTTGAGGGAAGAACAAGAGGTGATTAGCACAACACATAAAAAGCTCGTATAAAAACAAGAGGATAGAAACACAAAACTAGCGTCGTTGGGGTCTCTGCAATGACCTTTTTCGATCTAAAACTGAATGGCATAAGGATAATATATAGAGAAATTGATGTTTATTTCTTTTAATTTGTTCACTTGCTTCAATGTCATCTCAACATGCTACAAGAGGGCTGAATTTAAAATATCCCAGAGAAGAATACCCCAAACTTCTGTTTTCTAAGAACCATAAAACCACATGAAGAACTAAGCGAATATTCAAACCCACTAAAACAGGAGGCACCAGATAAATAAAAAAAGAAGTTTGAACAGACGTACCATATTTACAATTCCCATTAAATTACACATAAATAAATATATACATACATGAACACAGATTCGCTCATATAACCGTGAATCGTGTTGAAATTCAAAGTTCAAGTTGGTCGCTTGGTCGAGTGAAAAGTCAGTTCTTGAAGTCATGGCATGGAGCTGTAGATTTCTTTCAAGTTTATTATTCACAATACTGATAAAAAATCTTCCTCTTTCAGCTTCTTGTTGTCACATGGCTACAATCGTAAATGGGGATACTGGGGGGAAATCGCTGAATTTCAGTCCGTTGAACTCATATAAAGGGAGTTCATGAAAAGTCCTGCTGTGGCAGATCTATAGCCTACTCCTTTTATTGGCACACTGCTTTGTTTTGATTTAAAGAAATGCCTTGTCCACGAATCCCAAAGTTAACTGTTTTTATTATTAGGATATTATTTTTTTAAAGTTTCAAAATGTCAAGATCGGGAGGTGCTGCGTTCAGTGTTTCATCTTGATCACTAGTGTTTGTTACATATGTATTTTGTCATTAATTGGGATGTGGTAGCTGGACATCACTTTCTGTGCTTCTCGTCTTTGTCACCCGCCTTCGACCCCGTCTCGTTGTGGCTGTTAGGATTGTTGTTAAGGTACATTTTGTCCATGGCTTTAATGGCCTCCGTCAGATAGTTCTGAAGCGCCGTGAGGGCCGCGCACATGGCCGGAGTCCCAAATCCGTGAGAAATAAGACTGAAGTGGGTCAAACAGCTCTGAATCCCAGGCTCAAGAATGGGCTGTGGACGTGAATTCCCCAAGGGCGTGCGGTCTTGCGAGAGCAGGTCCGTGAACTCTTTGCAGATTTGTCTAGAAGGAGACACAATGCAGGATGCGTGTCAGGATGAACCTAATTACAGCTGAAGGTATGAAGTCAGAATTAAAACTAGGCTATGTGCTTTATTAGAGTAAGACAGTATTGAGACTATGTGCTCATTATGTGTCCCTTAATCAATGGCAGTGTCCATCAGAGCGATGGACATCTCAAGCTTAGTTTGAAAAGAGAGTCGCATATTTGTCAGTAATACGTGAAATGGAGACGTAAGAATTGAATTAGCCTTCACCTACAAGTTAGGCTCCATGACATTTAAAGAAGAGTGCCATAGCGCTATTCCTTTTTTAAGATTAGCCTATTATATTTTAATTCCGAGTGGTGCGCATGTTCATAGTTTGTTTATTTGTTTTATTTATTTTTTGTTATTATTTATTTAGCCTATTATTTTGCAGATCTAAAAATTAATTTACGAGAAAATACTAATTCGTTACAGGTTGCGAATAATGCAAATATTGTATTTTACGAAACCACTTGTTTCCAAAATGCAGACATTGACTCCAGCCATATTTATTAAAAGCTATAGCCCACATAGATAGTGGCACCTGTGTATCTAATGGAAAGCAAATTTCAATCTAGTGTTAAACACAACACGACAATTACCCCCCAAAAAAGACGCTGTCATAAACAGTGAAATGCGCGTTGTGACATCTACGCTAAATAGTTAGAATAGCACTTACTTCGCTGCCAGTAACATGTTTTTTCTTTGGACTTGTTCGTTTGGGTCGGAATGCTGCCGGTTTACGTATTCAGCAATCGCCTTGGTTGGAAACTCAGTCTCGCATACATAACCAAAATCTCTGGCCAGATGCACCGCTTCACCTAAAAGAAAATGAGAGTCAGTATATGTAACATGTCACTGCAATAAAATGTAGAGTATTTAACATTTTTCATAATTGTCATCTAATTAACGTCCTCGGGCACTGAGCAGGACATCTGTCTTTATCAATTCTGACATCGTTAATGCACATTTATTTTCTGTTACCTGATAGAAAATTGAATTCTGTCAAATGCATGCATCAAAATTTGCCCTCCTTGTGAGATTAACAGAACATCAGATAGAGACCACCAGACTCCAAATGACACCATGTCATTGATTCGTGATCCTTTTATCAATATTAGAAGGATGTTCTATATAAAAAGGTTAGGCCTACTCGGACTAGATATGCGTGTTTGGCTTTTCTTCTTCTTCTTTTTCTTTTTTGGTTTTAATTTCCTGAAACAGTTGGATTTTTACAGTCATAAACCTAGAATCCGGAAGAACGCATGCGCCAGTTAGCATCAAAGCTACTAAACTGCTTTCCATAAAATGGAGTAGATGATAAACAATAACAGCACTTCAGAAAGCCAGTGTCCTCTGACTAAATCAGCGTCTGCTTGCTTGTCCACCACCCCCACCCTCTCGCCCTTATCTCGCATGAATCATACATTTCTTCAGGCTCATTACCATACAAGACTAAATTTCAATGAAGCACGATGAATATAACATTCAGTCTTCAGCGGCAATGATTAACAGGAACCAATGAACCGTCTCCAGCTTTCACCTTTAAAACTCACGGCACACCAAATACCACTGCACGGAATAATCACCTCCAACTTTGCAAGCAAAATGGATTTATTCAACAGCAATGGCATCTTCGCAGTGCAACATAATTAACTAATTTATATTTTATAATAGGCTTCCAACCTACAGGTCAACTGCATCAAGCAGGCTAAAATCCACACATAATAATAATGATGATGATGATAATAATAATAATAATAATAATAATAATAATAATAATAATAATAATAACATGTTATACTGATTAAAGCTGTAGTGCCATATATCCAGCAACTACATAAAACAAAGTGCCATGAAACAACATTGCAAATATTACACAAAGTAGGCCCCCTACACCCGAATTCACACCATGCTCAAATTTAAAAACAAGTGGTGCTGCTAAACGTATAAAGGAGGTGGGGTGGGGGGTTCCTGTAATTCCACAAAATTGTTTTCCAAATTGTATCTCTGGAATCCGTTCTCTTTTCTTTTATCCTTCAGCTTTGTTGCTTGCAAGACAAACTCTCTCCTTTTCACGGATGAATGCAAATGCTGATTAAGAGTGGCTCTCATGTAGCAGCAATAAACACTTGCTTTATTAAAAATGCATATTTATCAGGAAACTTACCTTCCACCAGTGACGTCAAGAGAGTAACATTGGCAGCTTTGCGTCTCCCTGCTGGTAGATTTAATCCGATTTTATCTAGTTTTTCTCTTAAAGATCTTCCGCCATTCTTAGATTTGGCCCTTTGAAGTAAATTACAAAAAATGTTATTAAATGTCATTATACGTGTTGTAATTATGTTATCATTATTTATCTTACTGCTATTCATGATATATGCTATACATTATACATGCTATATATTTACATATAATTTATATTAAAATGTATAATATTTATAATAGCCCGGAGCACGCATAACCTTGAATAATTAAAAAAAGAAGAAGAAGAAGAAGAAGAATCAGTCGTTTGTCCCCCCAAGAGACCTGTTTAGTTTAGATAACAGCACTTCAAGTTACTTTTTATGCTAAAGGACTCAAAGAAAGACCTACTTTTTAAGACATTTTGCTTTAGGGGATGCCATGGAATGTTTCAAAAGTATTATTTCCCCACTATATATATATACCCATATATATATATATATATATATATATATATATATATATAAAATTTAGGTTCAGAATTGAATGTTGAGGTATGATTTTTAATAGGCAGCCATTTCGGTGGGTTGTGGCGACGGAAAGCGCTTGATAATATATAATTACTGATGTACGCAATAGATGTCCAGCTCACCTTCTCAAGACCCCGCCGAGCAGGGAAGCGTTCAAGCACTCAGGCGGAGAAAGGCGTCTCTGCACCTCCGCTACTGTGACTTTGTACTTTGACGTTGAGCTAAGAAGAGACAGACGACCCGGAACCGAACAGAACACTTCGTTTGGGTTTACCACACCTCCAAAAAGCCCGTCTTTATGTATCGGTATGGCAGAGACGCTGTTGTGCTTGGATATGGAAACAGGACCTTGAAAAAAAAAAGAACATGATTAGGCCCCCCATTTCAGTCAACAGCACCAACCAAATGGAAAAAAAAGATGAATTGCTATTCAGCAGGAAGCTTTTGAGTAAGATTAGACATATCTGTTTATTTGCACATCATCTTGCACGCCTATGTGGAATCAAAGGCATATGGTCTTATCAGAGAGGAAAGAAAATAGATACAGCAATAGCTCATGAATGTAACTGCTGCAATATGCCCCAAGTAATGAAGTGCCCCAGCCATCAAAATATTTCATATTATCGCAATGGTGACTTTTCAACAAGCATGGCATTGCCTCAAATTTTCCACTAACTGCTCAGCATAGCTGTTATTTGTTGGAATTCATAAAACAGAAACTGATAAACGAAGAGAGAGAGAGAGAGTAACAAAAGTGGTATAATCCACGGAAATGTGTATTAACATATAGGCTTAATGTTTATTAACATATACTTATATAACATATGTTATATAACATATAACATTTTTACTATTAAATAATAATAATAATAATAATAATACATTTTAATCAAATAGGCTACTTCCGACAAATAAAACTGCGTATTATTTCTTATAATTAAAAACTAGTTTTAATCTCTAAACAGTCGGTTTAGAGCCTAGCCACACAAGCACATTGAATGACACCCACAAATCCGAAATACACACACTCAGACTCACAAGCTCTTACAAATAAGTGTTCCGGCCTAAATCCTGCTGCAGAGCCCGTTGTTTCTTTATGTGCTAACCGGAAACAAAAGCACAGGCACTACTAGATAGATCACTAGTGACATTAATAGCTCAGTGGAGACTAATAGAGACAAGAGGAGTTAAACGAACTCGTGAGATCGCAATTATTAGGTGGATGTGCAACGTGTATTTTTGTGGATTTATACACGGAGCATCAAATTTAACATGTCAAAGCTTTTACATTGTTAAAACGAAGAAAATCAAATCTAACCACTGCCCGCGTAAATATGAGAAAACAATTCGATCTCAACACACTCATTCTCCTGCAGCCTTCTTTGACCATCTGCGAGCCGAACGAAACAAAGAGACACATAATTGCAAAATAATGACTTATACTGAAATTTACACCGTAGACATATATTTAATTTACTTTAACAAATGTGTTTCATAGTAAACTAAGTATCTACACGCGTTTCTCCTATCATTTTTGAATGAAACATTCAGCAAATTTCATTAAAGGCTACCATTTTAAATTTAGTCACAGACTAAGCTAAGTCAAGCACCATCACATTAACACACACATATTAGCTACACGAATAGTTATCGCTATGGAACACTTGGTTAAAATGGTTTGTGCCTTATCGTCAGGCTATCTCAAGGCCTACAAATTAACCCGATCTGTCTCACAGCAAGCAAGGGTAGACTTTACGAGCGGAGAGCTGCTGGTGGAAGCACATTCGGTATTTGAGAGGAAATTGCTTACCTTTCTTGATTACAGTTTGGTCTGGGATGTGAATTCCTTGATCTTCAACATGCTGCAAAGATCAAAAAGCATATTAATAATGATCAAAAAGTTAAAAAAAAAACATCGTACTTTTCGCGAACGAAATGAAATGCAATCCAAAAAGAAAATGCACAAACGCTTTAAATAAAATGTGTATGACTATGCACACTATAAACTGCATCTTTATAGAAGTAGGCTACATATCTTTGACCCATATTAATTACGTCTGTAGCCTACTATTTAAAGTATCTAATTAAAATAGCAAATGCTTGAATTATATTGTTTTATATCATAAAATATAATAATAGTAAATATATTTATTAGAATTTTATCTACCACAAAAAATCAACGAGGCGAACCTATAAAGCATGCCCTTATGGTGGAACAGAGAATTTTGTCCAGACTCGATTCGTCAGATCTCTTCAGCAGGCACAATGCAATCAAATTACTGATGAAAGGGAGGCAGCCAAAAATCACGTCCAAAAATTGCAGACAATATTAATCAAAAAGCCCAGTACACCATGGGTTACTGGGATGAACAACAGCGCATTAATTCATGGGGGGAAAGGGATTTTCTTTATATTACTTTTTTTTTAATTACACGCGCTGTAGTTTAAAATAGAATTTTACATAAAATTACTTTTTTTCCCCTAAATTGTTTTCCTCACAAAACATGCCACGTTTATCATAGGCCATCAAGGCAAAAATATCGAACATAATTGATCACCACTTGCAAATATACATTTAAATACAATTTAAAAACTTCCACATTTTTTATTTACCAACTTAACCAATTTATTCAGACAAAAAAATCGTTCTTACATGTGCATAAATGGGACAGAGTGCAGCAGAAAGGTGCAGTTACAAGTAGCAGAAATGGTGAAGGTGGATGAATTTAAATATTAGTGGTCAGCTATCCAAAGTAATGGAGAGTGTGGTAGAGAAGTAAACAAGAAGGGTAAGTGAATGGGAAAATTTACAAGATGGTAGTAAAACCAGCTATGTCGTATGGCTTGGAGGCGGTGGCACTGACAAAAAAAAAGGAGGAGCTGGAGGTGGCAGAGTTGAAGATGCTGCAATTTTCTTTGGGATTGACAAGGAAGTGAGAGAGGCAGGACTAAGATTTTTGGGCATGTGCATTGGAGGGATGCGGGGTATTTTGGGAGAAGAGTGTTGAGGATGGAGCCACTGGGCAGGAGGAGAAGAGGAAAACCAAAGAGGAGATTCATGGATGTGGTGATGGAGGACATGAGGGTGGTTGGTGTGATGGGGTGATGGAGGAAGAATGGAAACGGATGATCCATTGTAGTGACCCCTAATTGGGAGAAGCCGAAAGAAGAAGAAGAATGTGGATTGCATACATCCACATTAAACATGACAAAACAAGAATAGGTCATGTCTATGTACTTTTAGTTTTAAAGTTCCTTGTTGAATACATGTTTAAACTTAAAATAAAATAAAAAATGTGTTAGAAGTGTCTTCAAAATATGATTTGAGAAAGATCATCTTTCCTGGAGACTGTTTTCAGATTAGCTACATTTCACCATGGCAACAACAATGTCCTAACTCTGCTACCAGAAAGTGTATCTAGACCACAAGGAACAGGAACACTGAAATATTGCGAAAATATATTTTCACTTGTTTATTTGCCTGGTAAACCTGATTAGAAAATCTTATGATGAAATGTCTTGTAGAGTCATCCATGGAGGGCAGCTCACCAACAGCATCTAGGTGAAAACAGGAGTTAGACAAAGATGACTATTGTCACCCTTCCTGTTTCTTTTTGGCATTGACTGGATTATGAAGGAACCCACTAGAGAGTGAAGGAACTGAATCCAAAGGACTTTGTGGACCCAGCTCAAGGATCTGGACTTTGCTGACGACCTTGAACTTCTCTCCCACAACAAACAGCAGATGCAAGAGAGGACTGATGTAGTGACAACTAGTTAATCTCAGATTGGCTTAATCGTTAAGAGAGATAATACCAAGATCCTCAAGATAAAATCCACAAGCAAGGATCCAGTCATGCTGATTGGAAGTCCCCTGGAAGAAGTCCAGTCATTCACCTACGTGGGCAGCATCATTGACCAACGGCACAGACACAGATGTTAAGGCGTGACTTCGAGGCTGACGTCACCAAGATGGAGCCAGTTGGAAAGAATCGCCAAAGACAGAGGAATCTGGAGATCTGTGGTTGGTGGCCTATACCCTGGCAAGGCTGACGGGCGTAAGTAAGTAAGAAAGTTATTTGTTTTATTTTAATAATGTTGGTGAAAACATTGCTTTCATTATTCATTTACATTTATTCATTTAACAGACGCTTTTATCTAAAGTGAAGAAGAGTAATACAACAAGCAATTCATCATAAAGAGGCAAATAACACAGGAAGTGCTCGTAATGCAATGACGTGGGCCCCTTTGGGCTTGTTGAAGACCAGGCATGCTGCTGCATTCTGAATCATTTGTAGAAGTTTGATTGCACATGATAGAAGTCTAGCCAGAAGAGCATTGCCATATAGTACAGCCTAGAAATGATAAGGGCATGGACAAGAAGTTGTGCAGTATGGTTCAAGTAAAAGCTGAGCCAGGAGACCTTTTTGTGTAGCATTTGCATGTCTATGTGGGTTTCTTCCATGTACTCTAGTTTCCCCCACAATCCAGACATGCAGCATAGGTGAATTGGAGACACTAAATTGTCAGTAGGTGTAAATGTGTGTAAGTCTGTGTGTGAGCTCTGTGATGGACTGGCCGACTGTCTAGGCTGTTTTCCCCTCTTGGGCCCAAGTCACTGGGATAGCCTTCAGCATCCCTGTGCAGAGTTTGCAGAGTTTGTAGAAGGGATGGATGGTTACAAATAACTTGAGTTCACTTTTACTACAGCATTCAATAACAGAAACATTTTTAAAATAAAGTTTGATTAAACGCCAGTCAAAGTACTCCAGATAAACCCAAAGTAAACTTCGATTTTTGAATGGCAAATTTCAGCCAGAAAGACCTTTAATCTAGGCAAAGGGTTAAGAAATGTGTTCTTGTAATTAAAATATTTGCAATGCAATGCAAAAAAATGTGTATAAATACTCCTATATATGTATGTGTGTGTGTATATTATATTATAATATTATATATAGAATTGTTTTCTCTCTTGCTCTCTCATTAAAGCTTTGATGTGGAGATAAAGCTTTGATGACAAGAGTTCATGTGTGTGTGTGTGTGTGTGTGTGTGTTTGTTTGTTAGTGTGTTTTTTTTTTTTTACTTAATGTATATATGAAACTGTTGGTGAAATTCAGTGAGAAACAACACAGGTAATTCAGAAGGGTTGAAGTAAACTTAATTTCCCATAAGTCAACTTGAGAAACATCGCACAGGTTAAGGTTGTAAGATTCTTGGGGTGGTTTTTGATGAGAAGTTGACCTGGTGTCAACATATTGATAAGGTTAGGAATAAATGTAAAAAGGTTAATAATGTTTTAAGATGTCTATCAGGGCAAGACTGGGGAGCAAGCAGGGCATCGCTCATTAACATCTATCAGGCTCTTTTAAGAGCAGCGTTAGATTATGGTTGCCTAGTATACAGTGGTGTGAAAAAGTGTTGGCCCCCTTCCTGGTTTCTTATTTTTTTACATGTTTGTCACACTTTAATGTTTCAGATCATCAAACTAATTTAAATATTAGTAAAAGATAACACAAGTGAACACAACATGCAGTTTTTAAATGAAGGTTTTTATTATTAAGGGAAAGCAAAATCCAAAACTACATGGCCCTGTGTGAAAAAGTGTTTGCCCCCTAAACCTAATAACTGGTCTTTCCGTACCCACTGTATATATAAAGTACTGCCCACACTCCAGTCCAGTAGGTGGCGATAAATGCCACCTTTAAGTTGGTTTGCCAACCGCGAATAAAATTTAAAGAAGAAGAAGAAGAAGAAGGAGAAGAAGGAGAAACATCGCGACATAACGTCAGGGTCGTATGCTTTCATTGGCGTTTGAGGACGATTACGCAGCACATAACAAGTCGACCACGAGCACCACCAGACAAGAACTTCACTTCAGCCAAAACAGATTCTCAGGCAGTGGTAATAATCTTAATATTCGTATTGCAATAGTGTAATGAATGTAGAATAGACTGTTTCGAGTAACACCGAGTAACAGTCTCTGTAAGCACAGCTGACAGTAGAACATGCGCAGTCATGCACAGATCTGAGATGAGCTAGAGTTCATCAGTGCAATGTGTTTTTGAATATATGGTTTATGAGGACGCAATGTGTATAATGGCATTGGTATTACAATGTAAACATTGTTTATGAGGACACACAAACATACAAAACGGTGTCTGCCATTAGTTCTCTGTGAGGGTACGATATAGTCTAAAAAACATTACGCCTCTGGAGAGTCCCCGTAAACCACATATACAAGTATGTGTATATTTGTGTAAGTTTCATTCAGACTGTTTGTTCATGTTCAAGTGTGTTGAGGTGTTGATGATGTCAGTGGACTGGGCTGGATATGGATATGCAGGACTAGTAGCATCTGGAGGAGTCATAGGATATGTCAAAGCAGGTAATGAGAAAGCTCAAGAGATGATCATTTATATAGAGTTTACATGATTAAGAGCCCAAACTTGTTTGCTGGTCATTGCTCGTCAGGCTGGTATGACTGGCTGGCACTTGTCAAACTGGGAAACTGGATAAAAATTGATCTGCACAACCGGCTAAATACCAGCTTGATTTTTAACAAAAACAGAGTTCTTTAATCATTTCTTTTCTCACAAATTTTGTTGGTTCCTCTATGTTCAGTGAAAATGGCATACACCTTGGAACCAGAAAACTGCATGATCTTTTAAAATAAAAAGTGGATAATAACATAAACATCTAAATGTTAAAAACACTTAATTTTGTACTCTGAATTCCTTATGACACTTTATACAATTTATGTCGTTTATCAAGACTATCAAAATTATTTTGTCTTGCAGGCAGTGTCCCGTCCCTGGCAGCAGGGCTGCTCTTTGGTGGTTTGGCTGGTTTTGGTGCTTACCAGACATCACAAGATCCCAAAAATATTTGGGTGTCTTTAGGTGTGCATTTTTTTTTTCATGCATTGTGCAATTATTATATTTTTTGCAGTCGAAAAGTGATCTAAAGGCAGTATCGGCATGTTTGTTTTATATAACACTATGTGTCATCAATGTTTTTCCTCTCAGCTGCATCTGGAACACTTGCTGCTATCATGGGAAAGAGATTCTACAACTCACGCAAAATAATTCCAGCTGGTCTCATCGCTGGAGCGAGGTAACTTAACACACATCACAGTTCATTGTCTAATACAGGGTTTCCCTTTTTCTTGGATGATAGAGCTCTCGACTGTTAGTAAAATATTTTAGTTCATTAACTACTAATAAAAAAGACAAATAGGTCACATACTCATGCAGACTCCAGCCAAAAGTGTAAAGGGAAGAAAAACTGAAATATTAAAATAGTTCCTTCTGACCACTTTGTCCTAAATCTTTCAGCCTCTCCCTTACTCCAAAAACCTTAGCATGTTATTCATAGCACAAAAAGTACCATAGTATTACCAACTTTTTTTCTTTTCTCCCATATGAATTATGACATGGTATTCATTGCAGTACCTTGTAAATATTGAACGTATGAATATAGCAACCGTTCAATCAATGGTACCACCACTGTACCACCATTGTACCACCACAGTATATTTCTGCAAGTGCTTTTTTCAGCATGTGTTGCAGCTTAAAATGCAATTTATCATTATTAAAAATATTTATTTACTCTCATTAGTGTTGTTTACCAGAAATAGTCACATGGCTACAGTCAGTTATCAACTTAAAGGCACAATATGTAAGATTTGTTTATTAAAATATCCAAAAACCACTAGAACAGGGTTATATGTTTTGCTGACTTGTGTACTTACATTATCCCAAATGTTTCGAAGAATGTTTAAATCCAGAGAAATAAGCAATTTTAACTAGTGACACGGACCGTGTCCATAGTGTTATTGTGTCACCTGCCAATGACGTCATAACCCGATTTCCGGTTTTGTTTTGTAGAAAACATGGAAACACCAAAGATGCTTTAATATGTTGTGCGTTTTAATAGACCGGTGATGACTGCACAGAGTAGCATAATAACAAAACTTTCAAATGTATCTAGTATGATAAAACAGTGCTGCTTTTTTCCCCCACATACGCACGACCAGAAGTAGCGGAAGCGGTCGACTGTGGCATAATAAAAGCTCCACTGCTTTCGAGCCGTGTGTCACGCTCGTTCAGCGGCCTCGTTTTGCTTCGACGGCTTTCAGCCCCACCCTGCTTCATACTACTACGTTAATAAATCATTAGCTCATCCATGAACATGATTTATGCGCGAGTACCGTCGGATTGCTTCAACTGTGGGGATGAAGTAGACAACTCCCATGATTCCACACTCAGTCACGGCGTCATCAAACTACGCCTTTGTCTATTTGTTTATTTTGAACACGCACCCTCTAGCGGCGAAAATTACATATTGTGCCTTTAAATATAAAGGGCAAGTTCACTCAAAAATGTATTTACTCACCCTCCTGTTGTTTCAAACCTGTATGACTTGCTTGCTTCCATGAAACAAAAGGGTTAAAACTTTAGAAGAACTGTCATGCAGCTTTTCCATAATACCTTGACTGTCAAGCTCCAAAAAACGGCATAAGTACTATCATAAAAGTTGTCAGTGTGCCTCATCTGCTATACATACTTACTCAAAGCTGTTGCATGACTTCAGAAGACTAAGGAACAGACCAACATTTGTCTTTTTTATAGAGTCTAATGAAAGAAGTTTAATTTCTTCCTGAACTATCTCTTTAAATGTTTCTTGCAGTGTCCTGATGCTGGCAAAACTCGGAGCCAGAATGCTACAGAAACCTCAGCAATCGTAATACCCAAGCAGAAATCACTGTCTGCTTTCATTCAAACATAATTTTCTTTGAACAACATGTCATTATAGCTCATTTTGTATAAAATGTAAAATAAAATGTAGTTGTCAGGTGAATATCTGAATTAAAGACTTCTGTTAAAAACATGCCCCTTTAATGCATATAAAACATTTACAAAACACTATTTATTGATTTGAGTTCAGCCCAACCTAATCACTGCTATCTACATTATATGTTCATGTGGTAAAAATAAATAAAATTAAAAAAGGGCTACTCAACATACAAGGAAGTATAAATAACACTGCCTTGCAGTATAAATCACAGTAACACATAAAAAAGAAAACAAGAATATATTTAAAAACTGCATACTATAAAAAAATGTAAAGGGTTCCAAAAAAATAAATGCAATATATCAGATATAGATCTACCCATTCCATTGAAAATAAGGATTACAGGCATTGGATGCATAAACTGAACAAGACAGATTTAAAGATGAACAAATTGTTAGGTTTGTAAAAATCCATTGTATACAGACTCTTGTTTTTAATCGAACAATTAAGCAGTAGTGGGCTTAAGTGGTGTGGATCTATCCTAGCTGCTCCTCTTAGAAACAAAATAATACGTGTTTATACAATATTCACGAGTGTTGAAACAGGCCTTAGTTCTCACAGAAGCTGTAGCTCGCATTATATATATTAGCGATGGCTTCCATATTTTGCAGCCCAGTCAACCCGCCCATGCACTGGCTGAACCGGTGGAGCACGAGCCATGAGATTGGTGGAGGTTTTACCCAGAGCCGAGTAACTCGTTCCTTTAGGTTGGGTTCGGTCTGCTCTCCTTTTCCATCCTTCATAATCTGATAAAAGAGAAAGAGCATTTCACACTTGTGCAAAATCAGCAAAGCCAGAATTAAGGGCTACTTCTGAGAGGATTATGGTAATGAAGAGTCCAAAAATTAACACTTGCAAGGGGCAAAAGAGTAAATCCTTGATTTCTTAACACCAGTTGGCCAGTAACTTAATTAGGAACTGCAACATCATTTGACTCACAATGTATGAACAATAGTCTGGCAGAGGTGATTAAAATCAAAGGCCTTGCATTGGCCACCAAAATGGTATTATGAGGGGGAAAAAATCACCATGTGTCCTAAAGGAACACTCCACTATTTTTGAAAATAGGCTCATTTTCAAACTCCCCTATAGTTAAACAGTTGAGTTTTACCATTTTCGAATCCATTCAGCCAATCTCCGGGTCTGGCGGTAGCACTTATAGCTGTAGCCTAGCATAGATCATTGAATCTGATTAGATCAAAGGCCTTGCATTGGCCACCAAAATGGTATTATGAGGGGGAAAAAATCACCATTTGTCCTAAAGGACACTCCACTATTTTTGAAAATAGGCTCATTTTCAAACTCCCCTATAGTTAAACAGTTGAGTTTTACCATTTTCGAATCCATTCAGCCAATCTCCGGGTCTGGCGGTAGCACTTATAGCTGTAGCCTAGCATAGATCATTGAATCTGATTAGACTGTTAGCATCTTGCTCAAAAATGACCAAAGAGTTTCAATATTTTTCCTATTTAAAACTTGACTCTTCTGTAGTTACATCGAATACTAAGACCGACGCAAAATGAAAAGTTGTGATTTTCTAGGCCGATATGGCTAGGAACTATACTCTCATTCCGGTGTAATAATCAAGGAACTTTGCTGCCGTACCATGATATTCAATGATATGCGCAATGATATTACGCAGCACCTAATCAGATTCAATGATCTATGCTAAGCTACAGCTAAAAGTGCTACCGCCAGACCCAGAGATCGGCTGAATGGATTCGAAAACGGTCAAACTCAACTGTTTAACTCTAGGGGAGCTGGAAAATGAGCCTATTTTCAAAAATAGTGGCATGTTCCTTTAACATTTTTGTGACAGCTGCCGTTATACACGGACTTGATGATACATAATGCTGCAAGTGACAATGATTTCAGTGTATCTGTCAATAATAGCAAGGTATCAGTTATGTAAATCAACCGTACAAACAATAAAAATACATTTTAATAAAAATGAACCCGGAAGGTGTCACAACGTTAATTTTGGACCCTAGAAAGAAGTGCTGACTAAGACTTCTATTGTTCTGAGATTTTACCTTCAGAAATCTCACTGACTGAAACTGTAGAGGAAGGTTTGGACTTTGAAGATTTAGCTTTGCCAGTTTTTAAGTCAGCAGTGGCAGAGAGATCAACTAAGAGCAGATATAAAGATGAGAGAGAGACAGGCAGAGACAGAATGAATGTAGAAAGAAACAGCAGATCTTAGAGCTCTAGCAACAGATGTGTAGAATACTTTTTACAAAGAGCAAGAACAAAAAACAAAAAAAGTTTACAAGGGGAGTTTAAATTTCGGAAGAATAAAAGTATAAATGCGTGTAGGTTTTGTGGCTCTAGAGTCACCAAGTGGATTTCAAACTAGACAAACACATAATACCACCCCAAACTCAGCACTGTTTGGGGCGATGGGGGGGCTGTTTCCATCTTAAATAATAATGTGCCTCCTCCTACCATTGTTTTGGAAATTTTCTGGTTGGTAGGGCTGCTGAATCAAACAGAAACGTTTTGATAGTGCCTTTGTGTTTCCATTTGTCAGGGAAACGAACATACAAATTACTTTCACCTTTAAATTTAATATCAGTATTGCAAAGCCAACATAAATGTATCAGTATAAGGGTCTTTTCTAAGACTTTTTTAAAAACCTGCACAAATAAAACTAATACCATATGAGCAGGGTAGGGCAATGTCTATGGTAACATATTAAAATGTAAAATTGCTGTAAAAGGCATGGTTTACAGTTCAGATACAAGTTTTCACAAAAACAAAGTTTTATAAAATGATACACTTCACATTTCAGCCTTTAAACCATTTTTAATAAAAGTATTAATTATTATATTAATTTAAACTATTATCAATAAATTATTATATTAATGAAATAACATATAAATCAATTTTACAGTTTCGATTTTTATAATGCATTATCTTCTTATCGATCCACCAGTTCACATTTACAGCTCTGTGTTTGCTGGGTAAAAACATGGGTCGATTTTCACATTGGTCTGAACAAAAACAACTCCAATACTGTGTTCCTGCAATACGCAGTTCTAGGACCACATTTCTACTAGGACCCTTTTTTTTTTTTTTGTGACAGCGCCATCTAGTCAATTCTATTCCAACAGAGGAAACATACAATCATACAAACAGATCTTATTTTTTATGTAAGAGCTAGCGTGAACTTGAGTGTTGTGAGGCGACGTCAGCAATCTCCATTTAGCTGTGCAAAAGAGTTCTTTGTGCTGCTGGATGTTGTAAACTAGTATTTGTATTCAAATTATTTTACATTTATTAATGTACTAATAAACACACTAATTTGCACCACATACATACAAAAAAAATAAAATTAATTAATAAAAAAAACTATAGGGTCCTAGAAATGCGGCCCTGAAACTGCAGTCTCTAGTACTGCAGGAATGCCCGGCTTATTGAAAATGCACATTCATTCTCTGCCAGCACTTTCGGAATGGCAAAAATATAACTGTTTCCCCGGTAACAGTAAACAAATCATCACAGCACCGGACTTTGAAACGTGCAGTGCTCATATTCAACGAAATCATAGCCTTTTGAAGTTTAATTCGTCACATTAAGCCATATCGCAATTCTGGTCTTTCCGTCCCCAAATTTAAGACCTCCTGAAACCATAATTAAGACATTCTTGTACAATTTAAGACTTTTTAAGGACCCGCGAAAACCCTGACAAGCCAACATGAATGCAGCATGAAGAAAAGCATAAAAATTATGATTCTATAATGCTGTTCTAACAAACAAAGGTAGGCAAAAATAAAATATTTGAGGATGAATTGTAAAACCGAAATCTTACGTGCATGCTGGTGTCCGAGAGGGGCAAGCTGAATCCTTTGTCCTACGGATCCCACTTCCTTCTTTTGGAAAGAAGGTATATATCCTCCAGAAAGATTGTATGTGGTGGTTACAAAGTTTCCTGTGAGGAGAGGCCACAACTTAAGACTGAAGAAAGAGAACACAACCAGCTAAGCAAACAAATCAAACAAGATTATCTGCATTTTTGCTAAATATAGTATAGTTAGTTTCAGCTTCAATTAATTTGTGCTCACCTGGGCTGATTCTAGACACTGGCGCTCCTCCAATGGGTGCGAGAGGTTTGTTCATCAGAGCTGAGGTGTCCCACAAGTCTTGTTGAGACTCCTTGTTGCTCAGAGATGGCGTGTTCTTGCTTATTAACCCTAAGATTGATATAGTCATTATGTAAAACCTAATTTATGCAAAATAGTCTAATGGGGTGTTTACATATACATTGATTTTCTGCATTAAAGGAACATTTGTTTAGAAGCCATTTGTTTTTAATGAGTTCAGAAAAATCTTTATGCAAATAAGCAGTGATGCAATGTGGCAACTGTCAATGAGATCTGAACATGTGATCTGTGTTCTGTGAGATACTCATCTCAAGCCATTCCAAATGATCTGTATCTGCGTACATGCAAGGATATTACTTTAAAAAATGTGTGGAAAGCCATGTCAGGAATTGTCAGCATTGTGAGCTAGTTTGATGTATGCACTGACAATCATTCTTCTTATTTATATGATATGATGTATTGTGCAATTCATAAATAAAAAATAAATAAACACATGAAATGATACCTGGCAGGTATCTGGACTGGCGCAGGTAATGTTGTCTGGCTGAAGAGGTGCTCTGGTGACTAGAGTCTGGCTGGTGCAGTCTGCTGGTATTTGGTAATTTTGTTACAGTGCTAAATGTATAAAGGGGTTTCTGGTCCTTGGGCCTGCAAAGTTTTTCATAACATAAAAAAAATGAAAGAGTGAAATCTCAAAAGGAATAACTGAAACTGAAAGTACAATAGAGAAACACAAAAGCCCTGTTCTCAAACTTAGTCAGCAGCCATGATACTAGACAGGCTTCACAGGCACACTCCCAACACAAAAGGCTGCTAAAAAGATATGCAGCAACATTAAGCTGCTTTCTAGACTAAACAAGGCCTCAGTACAGATTCATATGGCCAGCTATGGAAACATCATCTTAGAATGAGGTGGGACCAAAACAGTTTTTAACAAGACGGATGTTCTTTGTGCTTATGGCCATCGATAAGTCAGATATATACTATTAGCTAAATAGCAACTTTACCTTCATGTTCAGACTACAACTCTCCCTTTCCCCTAATGCCAGTGTGATGTATGCTGAATCTGATCTTTAAGCAGAAAGAGACTGATGCAACATTTACTGAATAACATCAATCTAGCAGCCTCCTTAAACCACACCATTTTTGTTCATTTGGCCATGGGAGAACTGGTCCCAAGGATTTTTCCTCCGTTTCGGTCACATGATGGAGTTTGGGTTCCCTGCCACTGTCACCTTTGGCTTGCTTAGTGGGGTTCAAAAGACACTTAATATTCAGTAATATTACAGATTTGACGGCACTGACACATCGGATGAGAACAAAAACGGAATTGAGCTGAATAATGACACTATTGTCTTTAAAAATACTTTAGAGCTAAATCAAATTTGTTCATAATTGACAAATTATGTAACACTGACTGTTATTGAACTGAACTGAATCAACAACATTGAACTGACTACTGACTATAATGACACTGTCTTCAGTTGAACTACTTATCGCTGAATTGAACTTCTTTCATAATTGATGAACAAACAGAGCCATGCAGAGCATTTCAATTAAAATGGTTAAATTTAATTTTGGATGCTTTGTTAGAAGGTCAGTACTAGACAGCAAGGCTGCTTACTAGGTTTCGGAATAGTGTGCTCATTGAAATGTGCTATAAATGAAATAAGTGTCAAAACTGTTTATGTTAAATTCTGAATGTAGTGATCATACTGTGTAGTAGTTTTCTCCTCCTCTGGGCCTTTGCTGGGTTTTTTAGAGAGGGATGCTGCGGAATCAGAACAGTCAGACTCATCCCAGCTGTCTGAGGGTTTCATGTTGGTCTGTCCCCACCTTCTTCGTCCGTTCTTCAGCCCAATCAAACTGTTCTCACCCCCGACCACCTCATGTTAGGAACACAAAGTACCATTGTGCTGATGTTCATTTAGGTAATCAAATGCAATAAAGAACTGTAACGGGTAATCTTTAAGTTTCATTTTTATTTATCACAATTTAATTTTGTTAAGAAAGGTAGAAATGGTTGAGTGGACATTTATTTAACAGACTGTACCACATTATACAATTATTATTACATATTGTGGGTCATTTACGTTTTTATGCTTATGTACTACAACTGTGACGCATTACTTTGTAGCAAGCTCATATTTTTAAATCAAAACTACTTTTATAGGTACATGGACTTCTGGTTATGGTTTATGTGTTACTGAAGTAATTCCTGTGGAAAAGGGCTGTATGGAAGATTGTGTGTCTTCCATGTCCCTTCATGGCATCCTCAAGTGGGTTCCAAGAAAAAATAACTGTATGGTTTAGCGTGATTATGGAATCACAAAGACTGCATTCATTGTAATTATAAAAATATGTGTTGGAGCAACTCGGTTTGCATTAAATGCTGCTTCACACAAGCTCCATCTCTGTAAGTGCTGCGAGTTTGAGTCACTTATAACGTGCATTTGAAAATGCAACATGCACTAAACATAATAAATTACATTTATTATTATGAAATACTTTATATTTATGGCCGGTAATTTTTCTTAAAGGGGTCATATGATACTTTTTAAAGATCATTATTTTGTGTATTTGGTGTAACAGAATATGTTGACATGCTTTAATGTTCAAAAAACACATTTTTCAAATACTGTACATTATTGTAGGTCCTCTATGCCCCGCCTCTCTCAAACGCTTAGTTTTCTACAACGTCCCTCCTTCCGACAAGCGCAGTCTGCTCTGATTGGCCAGCTGACCCAGTGCATTGTGATTTGCTGAACACCGCAAGCACTCGTGTGTAACGTAATGTAACGTCCCTTACCATAATCGCGAGCTTCATCTTTCAAAATAAATGTAAAGACAGAGCCGAAAGGGGAACAGAGTCGCGTGACAGACATAGTGATGAAGCTGGTATGTGTGCAGTACACAAGCCACGGTTAAGACAGCTAACTCCACTGTGATCTCTCTCTCACTCTCTGTCACACACACGCACGTACGCACACACTAGTGATTGATGGGGAGTTCGGATCATTTTACCGACTCGGACCTTTGAGTCTCGTTAATGTTAAAATGTTTCGTGTTACTTCCCTAATAATAACGTTGATCACAGTACAAACAATACAAAACTGCTATAAGAAACAGAAAAGATTAATTCATTGTTTACCTGGGTCTTCAGTCTATGAATAGCTCACCACCTCTTACCTGACAAGTCTTGGGCTTATGGGGCTGTCACGTGATGAACGAACGAACGACTCGGAAAAACCCGAAGACTCGAACCAGGTGAACTACTTGACTAATCCCAGTACAGAACCTATAGGATGTTGCGCATGCGCGACTGAACAAATCACTCCCCGAGACGACTCGTTCTTCCCGAGTCACATTAAAGATTCGTTCAAGAACAAGCCAACACTAGCACACACACAAACACACACGATGCGCAAAACTCCGCATTTGAACAGTCAATAGCAAATACTTAAACTAATAACAAAACAGTAGCTGATTCAGAAGCGCCAGATTGTCATAGCAAAGTCAGAATTACCTTCTCTCCTAGGTTCACGAAACGGTCGTCCATAAAATGCATTGCCGTTCTGTTGTAAGTAATCTTAAAGGGGTCATATGATGCGATTTCAAGTTTTCCTTTCTCTTTGGAGTGTTACAAGCTGATTGTGCATAGATAAGATCCCTGAAGTTGCAAAGACTAAAGTCTCAAAACCAAAGAGATATTCTTTATCAAAGTTAAAGACTCTGCCACGCCCCACTCTGGGTGTTCGGCCAATCACAATGCACTGGGTCAGCTGGCCAATCAGAGCAGACTGCGCTTGTCGGAAGGAGGGACTTTGTAGAAAACGAAGCGTTTGAGAGAGGCGGGGCATAGAGGACCTACAATAATGTACAGTATTTGAAAAATAATGTAAAACATTTTTTTTTAACATTAAAGCATGTCATCATATTCTGTTACACCAAATACACAAAATAATGATATTTAAAAAAGCATCATATGACCCCTTTAAAGATTCCTAAATGCATCTACTTTCGGAAGGCCAAATAAAGTGCTTTTGCTTTCACACTGAAACACACAGCGTCTCCCTGACATGGGTGCTTCAACACTAACTGCGGTTACTGAAACCACGCCTTCTTTCTTTGCGTGAACATTTGGGCCGCATTATGCTAATATTTCCACATAGTGAGGTAGATATGTGGGGGCGAGTTAGTACAAGCCGTTTTAGGGGGGCGTGGCAGAGTCTTAACTTTGATAAAGAATATCTCTTTGGTTTTGAGACTTTAGTCTTTGCAACTTCAGGGATCTTATCTATGCACAATCAGCTTGTAACACTCCAAAGAGAAAGGAAAACTTGAAATCGCATCATATGACCCCTTTAAATCAATGGCAATTGACAGGGGTGGCAAAATGTTGGTTTAAGGCCCTGTCTACATTTGTATTTACTGTAAAATAATTCCCTGTTCATATTTACAAACTGATAAACAAAGTGACATCATTGTTTGTGATAATCAACAGTGTGCCACAGATGCAGTAAAATGAAATATAAAGTTAATAATAAAATACAAATTTTAAGATTTTGCTGTATCGTGGCATAAAAAAAATGGGAATGGGAATCTCAAGTTTTTCAAAGGTAATTACAACATTTAATTTGAGAAGGAGGTTTTGTACCTTTTGTGTGTATGGAGCGAGAGGGTCTGTCTGAGAAAGAGACTGGGGCAGAGGAATCTGCTGCAGTGGCTGATGGGAGTTTCTGCTTTGGCCTTTAGTCTGTGATGGCAGCACTGGTTCTAAGACAGACTGCAGCTCTGATCTGGGTTCACTAGGCAGGGTCATCTTTATCTGAGCCTTCCGTACATCAGGAGTCATGGGTAGGGGGCCCAGAACTTGTCCTACTTGGAAGTAGGGGTATCTGAGTGCCTAATAAGATGTTTATAAACAATTACTTACACAAACATTAATAGTCTTTATAAGAATATTTTAGATGTCAAAAATGAACTGAATTGAAATAAAACAGTGTCGAAAGGGTTATTATTTCACAATTGGTCTGATGAACCAAACCTATTTGAGTTCTACTCCACCCTACTGTTAAACTTTGCCCCCCAAAGTGAAGGCTGGCAACAAACTCCTCACAGTTAGATGTGGTCTTGGATAACCCAAAAATTATTCCAAAAGAGATTTATTCGCAAGCTTCGGAACTTGGTAATAAATCCTCATTTGCAAACTTCACCAGAGACAAATTATGCAAGTGATCAGGAAAAATTAATCGAATGCCATTGTATCCAATCTGAGCAGCATTGACGACTTGATGTTAGCCTCTAAATATGAAGAGAAAACTCCTAAAATCCACTACGGGCAGATGAATAACTTGAATAGTGAAGATAAATCGTCTGTGCACGCATGTTCTTATGGGGTGTCAGTCAAGTGATGCCTCAGTGGGTGGTATCTGACAATAAATTGCCATGATTCTATACAGTCTTCAGATAATCGTCAAACTAGAGGGTGTCGAAGTGAAAATATGAAAGGGAACACCTTTCACACCAACCAAATGAACAAATGTCTGGCCTCAAACAGAATTCATTCAACACCAAAAGCTTTTTTTATCAAAAAATAAATTACAATTTATATATACCTTTGCAGCAGAGGGTCTTTTCTTTGGGTCCCACTGGAGTAGATCTCTCATGAGGTCTACAGCCTCATTGGTGGCGTTGGGAATCAGAGTTTTCAGTGGTGTATGAACACATTGGGGGAAGCGGAAGTTCATAGCAGCAGCAAGCTGATAACCCTCCGGCCAGTCTGACTGCAGGGGAAAATAACATTTACTATCAAGCATGCTTTACCCAGGATACTAAATACTGTAATAGATAAGAACCAAATCAAACACATCATAAACTGATCAAGACAATTCATTATTAAAGTCACATGTAGCTCACCCTCATATACAGTATGAAGGATGCCTGGAGTTCAGTAGAGATGTGCTCAGATTCAGAATATTGATAATATATTGATATATTGATGAACTCCTGACAATGCACGCATCGATACAGCTGCTTCTGAATTGAACTTCATATTTCAGGATTTTACGGCCATACAGTGATGCTGAGAATATTAATTGCTTCAAGAATGTAAGGCGTGCTACACAATACCCATATGTCAGTTTTTAACAGAAACAGCCATTCCCTGGTTGTATGATTAAATTAAGCTAGACATTCTGCTGTCACTCTATTCTGTGAACAGAGTTTATATTTCCTGCCATACTTGGACATCAAGAGCAATTCAGTCATAAGTTACGCTACGGTAACCTGCCACTGCCTCTCCACAATGGGAACTTGTCTTGCATGTTCTGTAGACTAGAGCAATGTTTGACAATCACACCGGAGCAATCATGGCAGATTTACTAAATGGTGTGATGCATGACCAGGTACAGAAGACAAAGATCCTGTAATGGTGACTGATAATGCCTCTAATGCAGGGCTGTCCAAACTCGGTCCTGGAGGGCCGGTGTTCTGCAGAGTTTAGCTCCAACTTGCCTCAATACACCTGACTGGAAGATTCTATGCCTAGTAAGAGCTTGATTAGCTGGTTCAGGTGTGTTTAATTATGGTTGGAGCTAAACTCTGCAGGACACCGGCCCTCCAGGACCAAGTTTGAACAGCCCTGCTCTAACCTGTCAGTAGCTGCAAATATAGAAAATTAATTCCAGTGAGATGCTTTGCACGCTATTTAAACCAAGCCACTCAACAAGCTCTGAAGGTACTGACAGTTTCCCATATTCTCACAAGAGTTTGGAGCATTACAACATTTTTTAGGAAAAGTACTATTGGCTGCCATGTCCTGCATGACAAGCAAAAGATACTTGGACTCCTTGAGCATAAATTGATGAACGATGTTTGCACGAGGTGGAACAGCATGCATGACATGTTGGAGTGATTCATAGAACAACAGCCCACAATTGCATTACTCTCAACAGAGGCAGAAATAACCTGTACTGAAGATGTAATAAATGCATTGAAGCCACTTAAAATTGCAACTCACATTATGTCCGAGGAGAAGACCTCCACAGTTTCTATTATTGCACCTTATAATAGACTCCATAGCCTTAGCACTGGATCTGCATTTTAAAGCACTGCCCTTTTTGAAGGAGGTGAACAGGATGTGGTGAACAGACAGGAGGTCTACACCCAAAATGGCAATGGAGACATCACAGATTTCATTCAATTATAAATAAATAACTTAGTTAATATTAATTATATCAGCTAGTTATATTATAATGCTAATGAATGTATAATTGTATGTGTTATTCTACTTTATAAGTTTATTAATGTGGTCTACATAATTTGGGCTACACGAGTTCTGTAAAAGTTATTAATTAGAATGTCAAATCCTGGATCCTGTTGCGAATCTGACATCTGTCCCCACCCTGCCAGAAAAATATGTGGGCTCCTTTGTTTTTGAGGACTTATTTTGAGATGCATTTTCCCCTCCTAAAAGACAACATTCACAGCTGTCACTATATAATCAGGCAGAGGAAGTCAGGAAATACAAAGACACAGATCCACTCATCTGGTGAAAGGAGCAGTGTTTTCCCATTACTATCAAACTTGTCAAGATGTACCCTCTGCATTCCTGGTACAAGTGTAGCAGTAGAGAGTGTGTTCTCCACTGCTGGAGAGCTCTTAACCCTGAGCATGTTCATCAGTTAAAAAAAAAAAATTCTGAAAATAGCTTAATTTTGTAAATTGATTTCAACATAATGTGATGAACTGAATTTGTTTGGTGCACATTCCCACACTTGAAACCAAAATTTTATATTAGGAATTAAAATGTGTATTGTTTGAGAAAAGTAAGTTATGCTTCAGTTTTGTTACAGTTCATGCTTTTTTTGGTATACGTTTTAAGTATTGTTTAGTCATTAAGCCTTATGTCACACTTCAGCATTTGAGAATATTTGAAACTATAGTAATTGTGGCAGTAACCTTAAAAACAGAAGCGCTAAATTCAAGAAGAGCTAATTCAAGTAGTTTTTTTTTAATTCAGTTATCACAATTGTTTTAACACTATTCAATGCACAATAAAAATTACTGTTAATATTAGTTACTAATTAACCTAGAAAAATGCATTCAAAATGTACCTGTATCATGACCTTGTTGGTGTTTCAAAGCTCTACAAGTCAGTTTCTACAGGCCCAAAATCTTATGCCTCACCAACTAATTTTTTCCAGTCTACTGGTTAGACACTACCTTGGGCTGTTGATCACTTGAGTCTTGACCACTCCAAATTTCCTGATAAAGTTTGTTCATCTTCACATTTGATCATACCTTCTTTACTGTACCAAGAACCTGGCAGATCTTGAAGATCTCATCCACCTCACTGTTGCCAGGAAACAGAGGTCGAAGCGTGTAGAGTTCAGCCATGATGCAGCCTACTGCCCAGATGTCTATTGGTGAGCTATACACTGGTGACCTCAATAACACCTCTGGAGCTCGATACCTGGACACAAGCACATAAGACAGAACTTTGAAATGCTCATATTTCAGCCAGTAGGGAAAACTATGGCCAGTTGGACACTAGCACATTCACGCACTGTTCTTAAATGATCAAAGCTGATCAATATATAATAAAAATTGATCATATATAGTAAAAATTAACTAATTTTATATATATCCCACTTATGACTTTTGATTGAAACATAATATACCTGTCAGAAGAGCTGGTACCAGATAAAAGTGATTAATGGTACTACTACTATTGGCATGTATATGTGCTTCTTTTACTAGAAGATAATGGGTAGATTTGTATTATAAAATTACACAATGCTCTCTGCCCTCCCCTAATACTATGGCCATGTCTCAATACACAATTTACCTAGTTCCACAGTAGTAGAATATTTTTAGTTTTGCTGGTTTATTTTTCTGTGTGTTTGTCAGGTTGTGAAATTGCACATTTTCACAAAAAAAAAAAATACAGACTTTTTGAATGGTTGTGTATTTTAATGAGCACTTTTTTTTTTCTTTTCTTTTTTTAAGTACCATGGTGTTAAAAAAAAAATAATGCACCATGGTAATTTGACTTCAACAACATTGTTGTAAGTGTAACTTCATATGGACTCATGGAGTATATGACTAAGTACCATGGTATAACCCTCTGATGCTGTCACAGTACTGTGTTTGTGTTGTAAGGCGGTTCTGAATGCTTTCAATTTCCAGTGACTTTTTATACTCTTACCATCGTGTTGAGACGTAGTCTGTATAAGGAGGCCGAGAGCGGATCTCTCGAGCCAATCCGAAGTCAGCAATTTTCACCAGCTCTGGACCCATACATAGCAAATTTTCCGGTTTCATATCCCGGTGAAAAAATCCTACAGGATCGTGCCAAAGAGATACTGATGTCAACATGCACATAAGAATGCCTCTATGTTTATTGCTTCCACCTATTGCAAATGCAGAGACATGGAGCCTATATAACACCATTAAAGCTTAATACACTTTAAGAAGTTTAGTTTGTAACAAATACCACAATATACTTGGATTGTGTAAACACCTGTTATCAGTCCAATCCAGGTAATTTTATGTTCTTTCAAAAAATATTTTCATATCTTTTGGGTACAATTTTTCAGCGAGGGGGACTAATTTTTAACACATCATGAATGTGTTTGACTAGTTTCTTAAATTATATATATATATATATATATATATATATATATATATACACACACACACACACACACACATATTTTTTTTTTATTAAAGAAAAGAGGCACAGAAGAGAAAAGAAAAGAGAAACAGAGACGAAGGATAAGAAAAGAACAGCCCTGCAAGTATTTCACCCACAAGATGTGTGAGACTCAGTGCTTTTCTGTTTGATTACAGCTATTAATAAGGTGCTTTAAGTTAAGAAAGCTACCGCTGAAGAAGCATTAGCTTCTTTGAAGGGATCACATCATGGAAAAATAAACTGCATTTATTTTAAGAGGTCATTGTACCATGAAAACATACTCCAACTTGCAGAACTCAAAACACCATCCTCAGTACAAAAAAAAATAAGGAAAAAAACCTTTGGGTTATTACGTGTCAAATCAACCATTTTTTTCTTTTAAAAAAAAAACGGAAATGGTAACAAAAGCCAAAACATTATAATACATCATCATATATATTTATGGAAACCATATATATAATTTGGTTTCAAATCTCAGGTAAAAATTTTAATTTTATAATAGTGGATTACTTGGTAAATATACACCCATGACATTTAATATTTTGGATACTATTAATATTATAATATTGTTTTCTTAATTTTTGTATTTGTTTGTACCAGAACAAAAATAAATTAATTAATTAAAAAACTATGTAAAATTAGATTTAATCTGTCAAAAGGTTGTCTCTGGATGCGAGTAGCACCTGCTTCTCACATTTTTCTGATAATTATCAACAGTAAGGCTAATTCACACTCCACCAACAGCACCGACCAATGGCAAATATCACCAGATTAAAGTATGTCACTCCTCAGACATTCCATGACCCAAATGAATGGCGAGTCAGGTGAATGAACATGTTCAGCGAAAACAAGTGCCGACCAGCAACTGATGCCAACAGGGGTATCCGACAAATCCTGACAAAAGTGCCCATTGCCGTTGATCAGCATTTGTTGATGTAAGGTGAATTAGCCTTTAGAAAAGAGTAACTGAAATTAATTTTTAATAAGATCCCAATCCATTTTGGCTACCATAAAGCACTGACATGGAAGGCTCGAAGGCACTAACATCATCAGTGAACTTCAGAGGGGAAAATATTTTAATAAACATGATGTGACCCCTTTAACTGCTTATAATACAATGGGTCTGAACGGAAGACATGGGCATTTCAGGTTTTAAGGGGATTTAGTTTAACATTTTGGCAGCAGCGGAGATACTCACACATCCTGTCACCACATAGAAACAAGAACAACTGAGTCTTCAGCAGAAACAGTCCCAAGATTCAGTCTTTAGTAGGAGTAGTGTATTAAAACACATTTTCTAAGGTGCCTAAATGTCAAAATTAGTACAATATATTTGTTGAAAAAGTCTAATACACTATTGAATTATTAGGCTGTGAGCCTGTTACACATATTATTTTTGTGTTGCTGTCTGCTCTAGCTCCCTCCCTCCCTGTACAATAAAACCATGTGAATATGTCTCTGCTAAATTTTTTAATGTAACTTTACAATCGATATTGATTTCCTTTAGCACAGTATTCTGAATGATGATGATAATGGGATGCTACTGATAGCCTAACAGATACTAGCAGTTTAATACTCAACTACGTTAATAAAGAGATGAAACTGACCTGCACTTGAAGCCCTGAACAGGTCAGTGATGTAGCTACACTTCACTGCTTCTTCTGGCCGCTTTCTCTCTTTCATCGAGTGCGGCGCATCGGTTCTGTTCGGAATCGTCTGACGGAAGCTCGGAACACACGTGAGCTGATTCGTATAGCGCACAGTCGTATAGGTACATTGAGAAGACAAATATAAAATATTGATATTAATAATAACTTAACGTAAGATGTCGGTATTGCGCCAGTGAGTCTCGTGAAAACCAATGTTTGTTTACAGGAGCAAAGGAAGCAAAGTTTCCTTACTTTAGCAAAGGAAAACCAGTCTCCTCTTGGCTTATATCGAAATCCTCCGACATTCTTCTTTACAAATCCTCATTTTGTACTTCTATTAGAAGAACTGATGATGGCACGGTTTGATCTTCGGCTGACCATCAGCAGAAAGGGGCGTTTAATTCCCGCCCACATGAAGAAATCGAATATTCAAGCTGTTTATTCATTTTTCCACCCATGAATGAAAAACGAAAATTTAAGCAGAATTCTTGTTTTTCGTTTTTTGGATAAAAACAAAAAAGGAGCCATTTTCTAATTTTTCTACTTTCAATATTAAATCAAAAAATGAATGATCGAATGATACACGGATTATGGTGATTGGCCGATACCGATGCCGATTCTGATGCTTCAAGGCAAGTTTTATATAACATGTAATAATGTTATATAAATCACAAAAATTATTCCTTATACAGTGAACATTTTAATATGCCTTTAAAATGGGGTTTATGCATAACATTATGTATATCAGGATACTTAATATAAGACAAAAATAAATACAAACAAATTGCAGCAGTCTGATGCAACCCACAAGGTTTATTTAAACATTATCCAATAGTAAAATGTGGAGGACAAATTAAACATTTAATCTCATAAAATTGAGAAGTCTGATGTAACTTAAACATTGTCCAATACAAGTCTGAGCAGGACAAAATTAATAAACATAAAAAATAAAAAAACATTTAATCTTCTAAAAAAACTAATTGGAGTAGTTTTATGCAACTCATTAGGTTTAATTTTACATTGGACAAAATAAATTTTAAACGCCAACATGGAGAAGTCTAATGTAACTCATAAGCTGTAATATTGTCCAACAGGGGTGTAACGATTCACTCGTTTTCTCGATGCATCGATTACAAACCCTGACGATGTAATGCATCGATCTTGAAACATGGATTTTTGAATCGCCGATCTCGTACAGTAATCGATTTAAAACGCTATGAATCGAATTAATTGTGATTTCTATAGCGATTCAATGCTTTAAAAATATATACACATTAAATTACTACAAGCACAAATTAATGGAGACCTTGAACAGTGTCCGTGCCCTCGCATCTCTACTTCACGCGCTCCACTATTTCCCACCCAGGGACTGTCACAGGATTGCGCTCGCGCTCCATTCGTCTCACAGACACATTTTTTGAGCAGCTGATGTGTGATCTTTCCTTAGTATTAGTGGCCAGTAATGCTAAAGTTAAGTAGTTTTACTTTTCTGTAGTTTTTCAATGGCTCTCGGTCATACCGACGACATTACCTGAGCAGTCGAAGGCTGCGCATTTATTGCATGGATGGATCAAAAATGTAAGTGTCTAAAGCGTACGCACAGTTCCACTGAATGAGACATGTTTTAACAATGTTGTTGAACCGAATGTACGAAGGAAACCGTTAAAATAACCACAGCTTTAACAACGACTTTGAAATAAGAGCGCAAGATTTATCTGATAATCTGATGCATGAAAGTAGAGTTCGTTGCTATAGCAAACAGACATCGGGCGCGTTTTCTTTCAGAATCATCATTCGCAGATGGAGGAAAAGTTAAACACTATAGCATTTTATTTTATGAAAATGAGATAAATGAGATAAGTTTTTGCACTGAAAGAGAAGTGATCTCACGCTCATAGAACTTAAGACGAACCAGGCTATATCTGCAGCTAAGCTGAATAAAAAGCAGAATGAACAGAATACTTTAAGACAATAAACACAATAAATAAATACAATTTATGAATGATGCAGTGCTAATTGGCATATTATTTATTACAGTACAGAAACTATAAATTATATTTTTACCTTATACTTTTATAATATAAGTTATTTTAAATATATTATTGTATTTTACAGTTCTGTCACTTCTGAAATGATGGCTATGCCCCTGGTGTGACAAAATGTTAGCCTATACATAATACTTTTAAAGCTCTTTTTTTAAATTTTGGCTTACATAAATTACTACATATGCCATGCCATAGCATCATTAAACTAGCATCTAACAATGGACAAAAGTGGGTTTTTTTCTCTAACCTATGGTTCTCTAACCATAAAGGCTGCTATGTAATTTGCCCCCTGACTAAGCATTTAAAGAATTTAGGGGAAGCATTTAAATAATCCTGTGAATGCACTTAAAGAATGCAGAATCGAATCATTAATAGAATTGAATTGAATCGTTCTGAATGTGCAAAAATCATTCTTGAATCGAATCGAAAACCTATGAATCGTGAATCGAATCGATTCGCTGTTTACCCAAAGATTCACAGCCCTACGGTCCAATATAAGACTGAAGTAAGGTTGTGACGGTGAGAAAATTTTCCCATTGGTTAATGGACGTGTGACAACACAGATAATACCAGTTTCACCGTGGGGGCAGGGGCGTTCCCCCTTTTCCTCGCTTTCCTTCGCTTTTAAATAGCTTGTAAAAGCGGCGTGCATTTACTTTCACTTTCAAATAGCGGCAATTCGGCTAAAGCAATTGATTTTTTTTTGTTTGTTTGTTCAAATTTTCCCTCTTTTCCTCGTTTTCCTTCGCTTTTAAATAGCTTAAAAGCGCCATTTCACTTTCGAATTAGCAGCAATTCAGCGTCAATTGCTTGAATGCAACAACAAAATACAACGTCAAACTCACTTTAGCCTATATATAAAACACGCAATTCGGCTAAAGCAATTGATTTTTTTTTGTTTGTTTGTTCAAATTTTCCCTCTTTTCCTCCGCTTTTAAATAGCTTAAAAGCGCCATTTCACTTTCGAATTAGCAGCAATTCAGCGTCAATTGCTTGAATGCAACAACAAAATACAATGTCAAACTCACTTTAGCCTATATATAAAACATAGAACTTTTATTAACAAAACGAATAGAAATACACCATGCTATAGGACAGGCTATGCCTAATATAAAATAACAAATAACTTGCAAAAAGTTTAGATAGGTATACAAAACTGGAAATGAGTA